ATTTATATAAGGTGTATACTAAAAAGAAAGAAGAAAAAAAGGAGAACAATTGTTGTGACATCACACGTGAACAATATGGTAGGTTTAGAAAAGTGAAAATTCATTGTATGAATGTACTATGTTTCTCAACTCTTATATATATATATATATATATATATATATATATATATATATATATATATATATATATATATATATATATATATATATATATATATATATATATATATATTACCGTTCCAAATAATTTGTAGGCCTCATTCTAATATTATAATTGAGCCCTTAATAAAAAATATAAAAAAAACTAAATTGTAATATTTTTTTTATGTGTAGTATATATAGTCAAGAGGATTAATGCTCTTAAGTATTTACGCATTGATATTATATTTTAACACAATGATGGTTTAACATGCGTATCTTTCACTTCCTCTTCAATATTTTTATTATCGAACTTTGGATGCAAAAATTCATAATATGAATCATCTTAAATATTATTTTTTTGCAATATATTTGTTTTCTATCTCAACATTATCATATGTTTAAATATATCTTGTACACTAAAGTTTTAATCTTTCAAATCTGTCGAGATTTTCTTGTAATTTATTATAGAATGCTCTATTTACGATTACAAATATTTTTAATTTAAATTGGATTTAATAGTACTTTTAAATTTGATTGTTATTTAATTAATTTGTTCAACATAGTTTATTCTGGTTAGCGAGAAGGAGATATGTTGTAGTAGCGGTTGTGATGACGGCCCTGGTTGCGGGGAGAATTCTTCGGTCGGGGTCGTGGTTCTTCATTTATCCTGTTTCTGTTTTTAGGAGGTCTTCTCTCTTGACGTGGGGATGTGATCACGTTCCCCCGTATCAACGGACTGATTCCTCTCCAACGCGTCCGGTTCATCAGGGAGAGGGGCTTTGAGAGGCATCTCGGCTGCGTCTCCATGGGGGAGATTGGAATGGTCCTCTATCTGACGGGCAGGAGGAGAATCCAGCCTCCTGTGTCTTCTGGGGGCTCTTCGAGAATCTTCGAGTACCCTTAATCTTTCACCTTTTGAGAAGATCAAGTAGTTTGTTTGATTTATAACCGCGAACAGTGCTCTGGTCGTGGCATCAGCGTCCGCAGAAACGGAGACCTCTTGGAACGCGTTCGAATAATAATTCTGGGGAGGATGCTGACTGTCTTCTGGTCGTCGGGGACATTGAATAATATTAATATTGAATAAAAATAAGAGAGTCAAAACGGATACCCGTGCGAAAGCACGTGTATCAGACTAGTTATTATTAAAAATATATAGTGTAAGGAATACATACATCTTACATATGGCTTTTTATAATGAAGAAGAGAAGACTGATGATTACCTAATGTAATTGGGTATTTACTTTGGTTAGAAGACTGATGATTACCTACAACCCACAAAATTTTCATCTTCTTCAACAAACTCAAATCCCTTAAAAAAACCAGAAAAATCTTAATAAATTCAAATTAAAACTTTCATTATCTTCAACAAAATCCACAGGTTATTAACACAAAAGCCACAGGTTACTAACACAAATGAACAACAATAATATATTCAGAACGTTTTGCAACACTAACTTTTACTGATACATTACAAAAATCACAAATCATTGTTTCACAACAAACCAAGCACAACAACAATATATACAAATTTTATTTATAAACTGATACAAACCTCGACCTATCACAACGTGCTTCCATACCTGAGGATCTATCTGTACAATCGCCTACAAATTTCTTTGCCTTCTTTTTTGCCTTCCATAGTTGAGATCCATCTTTTGCATGCACCTTCCTCTTACCCTCAACAACTCTGCGCGCAATAGATCCTTCAGCAGATCGTACACTGGATTTTACACTTTTCCACTTTCCTATCCATTCAGTCAGTGTTAGCCACTGAAATATCCTGCCGCCTGCTCAACCGTTTCCACACACATGCATATATTGTTTTGGGCTATTCGAAATCTCCTCGACTACCAGTTGGGTTTTCCAGTAGTTAATCCACTGACCCACACCATCAACCTTCTCAGCCACAAGACGATTATCTCTCTTTATTGAATCTTTCCCATGGAGTTTTTGTAGCCAACTCTTCAATGGATATGTAAATAACAAGCGAGAAAACAATGTTTCAGGTAACAACATATATGATAATCAATCTGAAACATATTTGAAGATGAAGCCAAACTATACCTTTGACGAATCATAAAAGGAGACAACAACGACATTGTCATTTTCGGAAAACCCTTGTCTTTAGAAAGGCGATACTCTTGGGACCACTACACTGCCTCTATGCCACAACAGATACCCCACCTTTCCTCTTCCAATTTATCCTACATATATTTCTTTTTTTTATATTTTTATTTTATTTTAACCCCTTTTTTCAGAATATATAAATAAATTTTTATAAATTAAATCTTTTTTTCGTTTTACTTAAAAACAAATAATATCAATATTAAACAAAAAAGAATGGGTATCACACTAGTTATTATTAAAAAAATACCAGTGTAATTTCATGTGGTGATTTATAATCAGCGATGCCACTCAACTAATTTAATAAAATACTCTTCTACATTTAAAATATTGGGCCAAGGTAGAATAGATGGATCGTTTCTCAGGAAAAAGAGGAGAGCACTTTATATATAAACATAACTTTCTCAAGCCTCTATCAAATACCTTGCCACATGTTCGACAGTGGACTCTGTCGTATTCCCTGAAAACTTGGTGAACTTTGAAACTTTCCACCTAGGGGGGTAAATATGATTGCAAGATATAATCTGACAATGGAGATGTAAAGTTTGGCCTATGAAAACCAATGTTCACTCCATTTTGTGCCATGATTCTTTCGACCATGGCTGTCAAGTTATTATCTGCTGCATGGTTATGGTGTCGAACCTGCTGTATTACCTCATCAATATTTTGGTTTCTATTTACCACAACTACACCTTGTTCGACAGCTCTTGGGATTTGTGGGGAAACTCTGGGTACTTCAACCTTAGGTTGTTCGACCTCCACTCTATGGTTCATCCCATCTGGCTGTGGATTATGATTAATGGCCATGTCATCCTCTAAGACCACACCCTGATTTCCTCTTATCAACTCTCTTTGGGGGTGTCCAATAGGTTGAGGAACCCTAAAAAATTCGGCCATGCGCATCATTTGCGCTGCCATTTGCTGGTTCGACTGGGTGGTATTTTGTATCAGAGGGTTAAGTATTGTACTTAAGGTTTATGTCAACATCTGTACCATGTCATGGTTACTCTCATTCATTTGTTGTCTCAAAGTTGTTGCAGAAGCATTTGTGAGGCTTGGCATTATATGGGATGTCCCTCCTAAGAGTTGGTTTCTACCCAGATTTGTCATACCAGTTCCAGATCCATGCAATGGCGAAGATGCACTCACCAAAGGTTTTGAAAATATGGATGAGGCATTCATAAGGCTTGCCATTTCAGTAGTTGGCATGCCATATGGTTGATCTCGACCCATCCAGGCTGTCGAAAATCCTGGAGGAACATACGGTCGAACTCCTGGATTTCCCCTTGGTGAGGGTGTTCCTGGTGGACCCCTAGGACCTACATAAGAAAGTATTGGTCCTGTTTGTGTAACTGTCAATGCTGGTGTCAAACCAACCGTTAATGACACAGGTTCACTAACTGTTGGTATAACCCCAATTCCCACGGGAATTGGTGGAGGCATTTCTCCATTACTTGGCTGATTAGCCATTCTCCTATTTCTTCTCCTAGGTATGTGCTCTTTGGTGGTTGACTTACCACTTCTCAATAACATACAACACTCTTGAGAGAAAGGAAATTACGTAAAACACTTATGATAAAAACTGTTTTTTTATCCACTACTTGGCTGATTAGCCATTCTCCTATTTCTTCTCCTAGGTATGTACTCTTTGGTGGTTGACTTACCACTTCTCAATAACATACAACACTCTTGAGAGAAAGGAAATTACGTAAAATACTTATGATAAAAACTGTTTTTTTTATCAAAGTTTGTAAACAAAAACAAAAACTTAGCAATGTCCCACTGAGCGTGCCAATTTGTTTACGGGGAAAATTGGTAAACAACTGCTGATCTTCGAAAAAGGGTTATTTTGGTTACTTGTGGGATGGATCAGTTTGATCCTAAGACACATGCTAAGTGTTTTTGGGGTTTGATAAGAAGTCTTAATCCTGTTCATGAACAGGTTCGACAAGATACTAAGAGTAAAGGCAGGATGAAGATAAAAACTTGATAAAAACGCAAGTAAAGTGCATGATAAAGTAAATTTACAGTAATTTAAAAGGCTGTAATGGTAAAGTTTGCAGAGAAATGTTAAATGACAAGGATTGTAAAGAAATGTAAAGACTTCGATTGCAATAAAGTATGGTGATTCAAACGTACATTCTCAATATTCTTTCTCTCACATCGGGTACTTGAATAAAATTGAGTGACTTGTACAATGAGTTGAACACACAAAATTCCTATATTTATACTAATAATAAGTAACTGTCGAACGGTTGCTTCGTTCCAGGATGAGGACAAGTGTCCTCTGCATGCTCTTCGACCCCTATCTTCACGCCACGTCGCTTTTCCTCCTTTCTTCAGATTCAAATCAACTTGTTGCTGATACAAGAGCTTTCCGGTCGGAAATTGTCTTTAACTTAACAAATTCTCTAAGTGTTTTTTCCTTCTTAGCAAGGATGACTTCGACACAACTCATTTCACAGGCTCTTCTGTCGAAGTGTCTTCAACTTAGATTTCTTCAATCTATTTTTAGGCAACAAAATAAATATATGTGAGTGACAAATTTAGGAGCTAACAGTATCACACTAATTATTATTAAAAAAAAGTAGTGATTAGTGAACAAATTTAATAAAATAGTCTTGTACATTTAAAATATTGGGCCAAGGTAGAATAGATGGATCGTTTCTTAATATATAAACATAAGTTTGGCGATTGGGCTGCCTAGGGTTGGATTAAAAATAGAATAAGCTATGGCTGTTGGGATGCGTGGTGAGAGCAATTCAGCATGTTGGGCTGCTGTTCCCGACGAACTGATGGCAGAAATACTCTCCTGGCTCTCCGTGAAACATCTTATGCAATTGAGGTCAGTCAACAAGTTTTTCAAAACTCTCATCTCCAATCCTTACTTCGTTCAAATGCATCTCAACAAATCAGCACGAACACCTAATCTCGCACTTATCTGGCTAGACAGCATGGAAGACCGTGATTCCCATTTCGTTAGTAAATCCGTTCCTCGTTTACTCCTTCACAATGATCCTTCCTATCGACTCATCAATTTTGTCCGTATAAGCCGAGTTGTTGGTTCATGCAATGGACTCATATGTCTTATTTGTAGTTCATACCCTTCTTCTTTCGATGAATGGCTTTGTTTCTGGAACCCTGCTATCAGAACAATCACTCCAGAATTTGGACTATTTTCTCGGAGCTCAGATATTAAGTTTTCTTTCGGTTATGATAATTTGAATAAAACTTATAAGGTGGTAGCATTCTTGGTCGAGTTAGAGGTTCACGGTACTCTAAATAATATGGTCCAGCGTACTCTAAAAAATATGGTGAAAGTTTTCAGCTTGGGTGATAATTCATGGAGAGATATTCAATGTTTACCTGTCATTCCCCTTCACTGGTTTGATGCTCGGAACAACAAAGATGTGTATTTCAATGGTACTATTAATTGGCTGGCCTATTGCAATCATGATTTTTATTTGAGGGGTATTCCTGAAAATTATGTAATTCTTTCCCTAGATCTCTCCACTGAGTCATACACTCAGATCATGCTGCCTCCTGGTTTCGACAAGGGGCCGAATGTTCAGGCAAATATTGCGCTTTTGATGAATTTTCTTTGTTTCTGTCGTGATTTTGAGAGAAATCATTTTCTCATATGGAAGATGAAAGATTTTGGAGTTCAAGACTCTTGGGTTCAATTATTTAAAATTAGCTATCACAATTTCTATTCAACCAACGCTCAATTATTTGATCTTCAGCACTTGGAAATCTTGCCGATATACCTTTCTGAGAATGGTTATACTTTGATATTCACACATAATTATAATTCTAACGCACCAGTGTTTATTTGTGATTGCAGAGATGATACTGTAGAGCCAACAAGAATTAGTGATACCATTGGCTGGTTGTGGGCTAAGGATTACATTGAAAGTTTGGTTCCAACTTGTTGAAACTTGGAAGTGAGTTTTTATTTATGTTATTTTGTGCTTATTACAAGTTAGAAGATGGTGTTTTCTTAGTTAGATTTCTGATATTAGTAAGATGGTGTTTTCTTAGTTAGATTTCTGATATTAGTAAGATCTTGTGAGCAGTTTATTTTGCTACACCTTAGATATCTAGTGACTAGTATTTCAACTTAAACCAACCATTTTAAGATATTGTTGACTAGTATTTCTAAAAGTCAACATATATGAACTTACATGAATCTTACGCATCTCACAAACTTTTGCCGATATTATTTGCAAAATATGGAAAAGGGGTTGATGCTTGCCTTTGACGATGTTGAAGCAACGCACGAGAGCATGATTTTCAATCAATTAGAATGTACTTAAATGATGCAGAATCACTCAACTCTTTGATTTTTTATTAATGTATTTATAATTGCTTTTTTTAACTGAGGTCCAATGCATTCATTTCAATCACTGTCCACCTTCATGCTCCTGATGATGTAACAATCAATTGCATATTCATAATAATCATTCACCGCCAACGAGTCTCCATGAATATTATCCCCATTAGTGTAACAATCTTCCATATTCTTCCTCCTCCATAGAAATCGCACCGCCAACGAGTCTTCCTCCTTTCGCGTGAAACAACACGACCAAATCTAAAATAACAAACACAAATCGTTAAGATTGAAACTATTGTGTTCTCTTTCTGCAAGTAGGTCGACATAACTTCCCACAAGAGCATTGTTTTCTCGTACTCAAACTCCCTGAAGTGTAAATCAATATTATTAGTTGTCTATTATAGATAAATGTTTCAACATTGTTATGAATTTGTCCCTCTCCTCTATAGTCATTGCTTCTGCTGAACAATCACCAACTCTCCATTCTGCCCCACGTAAGCCATACTTGTTCTCTATTTCCTTACTATTCCTATCAAGTAAAACACAAAATGATATTGCAGATAACAAAAAACACACAAATTCAATTATGATCATATAATAGCTAAAGAATTACTTCTCTTTATTCAACTTAGATTGCTCAAGCAGTTTCTTCACCGAGGGAGACTTTTTTATTCTTGCATCGTTTTCAGCATATCTCTTCTGGTCTTCTTCTGTGAAAATAAAATGAACACATACATATATATGTTAGTTTCATCATCATCATTACACTAAGGTTTATAAAAAGATATTATGATACAAGAGTTTGAAAGATGTAACCATTTTTTCTGTTGAGGAAATCAATATGAGGAAGCTGAGGGCCAGGAACAGCTTCTAGTCCTGAGATTCCTGACATTAATCCAGCATGTGCTGCAAGGAAAAAATTAGTAAACAATAAAGTGACTTGAAATGAAATGCGTGCTAGAAAACACAGAAGGCTTAAAGTCCCATCGTAAAGAACACAGTGAGGACAAATTCACTAATTATTATAACCAATTAAGTTTGATGCATAATTACTTTCAAAGGCTAATTAATTTTTTAAATATTATAGCCAGCAAGAAGTGAATTACAAAACCCAAATCAGTAGCATAAAAAGCAGATAGGTAAGATGATGCCAAATTCTAAAGACTGATAACAACATTTAAAGCAGAAAAGGGGATATAATACAATGTTGGTGTGGTGGCTGAAGCAGGGGAATTAAGGAGTATAGTGTTAGGAGTTTGAGCATTTGATCACCACTATAATACTAAGAATATTAACATTGGTTGTTTCAAAGCAAAACAAAAAATGTGTGCAAGAGTTGAAAGAAACAATCGACTTTTGAAGAGTACTTAAGATAATCGATACGGTCATGATCCATTAAATGTTGAAATTTCACTTTAGCCAAAGTTTTTGCATAAACTTTCTACCTATCTCCTTTAGAATCGATTCTTTGGGGTGCCTTTTATGATGTTCGATAAAACCACAACACAATTTTAGTCTGGTAACAACAAAAGCGATTGAAAGAACACAATTGCATCATGGCTGAAGAATTTTGAAAGAAGTCGGCATTTTCCAAGTTGTGTCGTATATCTTATAAACCAAAAATGAAATAACAAAAGAAACAATTTTAGAAGAACTCAAACCAGCAACTATAAGATGATTACCTATCGCATTGCAAGCTTAAAGTCCTCAAGGAAAGAGACAACTATTATGATAGAGAGGTGGATGACAACTATATTTTGGAAGACAAAGAGACGAGTCTATTTGTCAAAAGGTATCACAAGTACGTGAATAGGAAAAAAAAAAGGGTGACAACAAGAGAAGTATTGAATCCAAAAGAAAAGATACATCCTCCAAGGAAGAAAGATCCAAAAAGGATGACTTAAACCTTGATAAAGAAAAAAAGAGGAATAAACTCAAGAGTCATGACAAATCTAGGAAAGCCTATGTGACTTAGGGCAGAGATGTTGAATCCTCAAGCGGTGAAGAATACAATGATGAATATAATATAGCAAATGTGTATTTTTTAACTCATCACAATGACAAGAGAAATAAAGGACACAAATCCTCTAAGTATGATGAAGTGTGTCTATTAGGTCATTATCATAGAGATAAGAAGAAAAGGAAAACAACATCTACAAGCAAAGACACTCATCATTGTGATCATCATAAAAAAGATAACAATAACAAGGTAAATTCTTCTCAAAACAATTTTGTAAATGCAAAGTCTCATCTTAATTTACTTGACGCTTTTGAAAATCTACACAAGGGAGATATTGAAGCTTTTAAAAAGTTGGCCTCAAATAGAAATATCTTTTCTCATCTGGAAGCAAAAATTTTAGAAACTGAAAATAAAATGGAAGCTATAAAGAACTCTCTTGTAGGTATTCCTAAGGTGAAAAGTAAGATGGATGATGTAATAACCAGCTAAAAATATAATCGTCGCCATTAATTTTTATCCTTATACGAGAATATAACAGAATAACCCTAATTGATGATACAGAGATTCTAAGTCTTAACTCACTTTAGATGAAGGGAAGGTGTTAGGCACCCATCATCTACCTTGTTCACAAGGATACTAGGGTTTAGGTTTAATATTCACGAATATGGTTTAATTTTTAATTAAGGGAACTCACCACGGTTTTTAAGTCATACGCCTATGTATCCTCTTATGAGGAATTAGAGTCTCAATTCGTAGTTCATAGTGTTGGTTGGTGTTTTTTATAGGATTGCGTAGAATTGATTTCGAATTATACTTGAACCTTGTCTGAGTTGTAAGTTAAGTGATCGTAGACGCAGTTCACAGTTAATTTTGAAAGTAATTCAATTTAATCATTTTTCAAAAATCTTCTTGAGGTTTTGACTATGTTAGTGGAAGAATGGTTTGATCGTTGGTTAGCTATTTTGAATTTCGATTTGATTAAAGAGTATGGTAGAACACAGAGCGGGGAGAGTCTGATAAAGTCTCCTCATCGCGTGACCAGATATTGGTCACGTGTTGCTCATTGATGAATTGTGTGGTTTTTAATATCTTAGTAAAATATTGAATTAATCAATTTGATTATAAAAAGTGTTTGTACAAGATTAGCAGCATTATTTACAAGCGATGTGAGAGATTAATTGAAAAAAGTAAATTATGCATAAAGTATTATTTTTCTTAAATAACCTAAATGAATTGATTTTTTCACTTTTGTATTATTTAAATATTTATAAACACATAACCTAATTAATTAAGAATTATTATTTTTTGTATTCTTTATATCTTTTAACCTAAGTAACTATAACTAAAAATAATCAAATTAGAATCTTAATGAAATTAGACTAACTTTTAATTAAATTAAAAACTTAATTAATTAAGAAAATAATCTAATTAAAAGAAAGAATTTTTTTTAATATTTTTTATTGATAAAAATATAAATTAATAATTAATTTATTAATAAAAACAAACTAATCCTAGAGTCAAAATGAAACCTAATTTTATTCTAACAATAAACTAGGAATAATGAGATAAAACAATAAAAAAAAAGGAATTGAAAAAATAAATGAAAAAACGATTCAACCTTTTCACTTTTCCACAATTTGAATCTATAAGTTACATGAGGCCCTTTTAAAATAGGATAGCAGCTTTTTTTTTCCAATTTTAAGAACAAATTTAATAATAGAAAATAATGATAATAATAGTAAATAAAGAAAGAATGAAAAAAAATAATAAACAACAAATAAATTGAATTAATGGAGCGATGACTCTCTTACTCAAATCAACCCTTCATATTTTCAATTATGGTGAACCAATCACCGGATGACACTTGGCAATTAGAATTAAAAAATATAACAAAAATAAAAACATAAGGTAATGATATATCAGAACCTGTTAACTCTCTTTCTCTTTTTCGTTCCTCTGTCTTCCTCATGTCTTCTCTATTTTTTTCTTTCTCTCAATTTGTAAACAACCTAAAAATCAAACAATGAATAGGAGATTGGTGTGTAAAAACTGACTTCTACAAAAGGTTAGTAAAAACAAATATAATTAAACAAACAATCATCAAATAATATATTCATACGATAGAAACAACCAATAAATTTAAAAGGGACAACTATCATGTTCATCATTTGATGTAAACAAGTTAAAATAAAAAGGGGCCTCATATATAATTAATGACCAAAAACACCAAGAGTAAAAGAGATTTTTGAAAACAAGAAATTTTTTAAAAGAAAAAACTAAAGTGTGAGTGAAATTCGTGGAACTGTGAGAATCGTGTTGTTGATGAGATTGTTCTTAGGTTGTTGTCTAACATAGTCAACAACCGTATAATAAACAAAAAATAATTGTAAAAGCAAGTTAGCAATTTTGTGGATGGTGTTGGAATTTTTTTGCCTCCCTCAATTTGTAGAAATTAGCTCTATTTATACTAGAAAATTAGGTTAATTAAAACAGGAAATAAATTAATTTGATCTAATAATTGAATAAAATAATTAAATCTCTGAAATTAACTTTACATTTCAAATATTTATTTAATTAGATTGGATGTTTCCTAAATTAATTTGCTTGCTCACAAAGTTAATTAAAATGCTAAAAACAACAAA